AAGAGAGTATATATATATATATATATATATATATATATATATATATATATATATTATATACATATATAAAGTTTCAAGAAACTCGAGTGATTAGGAATGCGATGAAGCAATTACAAACCTCACCAAAAATAATGTAAAGGATTTTTCGTTTCATTTTAACAAGAGAGAAGATAACTACAAAGTACTCTATTACAGATCAGCTCATAAGCAACAAAAACAAAAATTCTGATACGTTTTTGGCTCAGGTGCAGCTTTAAAAAAAAAAAAAAAAAATTACGCGTTGGAAATCCGGTGCGTACGCGACCAACCCACCTCTCTTCGCCTTACCTTACCATTTAAATAAGGTCAAGCGGTTGAATCCCCAGGTAAGCATTAAGAATGTGAATGAGTTCGACAAACACCATACCTTTTACAAAGAAAAAAAAACAAAAAAAAACTCAGGACATGCCTGTGGGCGTCGGGAGGTGACGTTATGACAAACAAGACATTTCAGCCAACCAATGGCGTCCCTTTCGTTATTACCTGACGTCATATGGCATCGCATCCGGGAGTTTTATTATTTTTTTTTTCTCGATTAAATAGGTCTGATCGGTAGGATTGTAGCCTTCAAGAGCTGGGGTTATATAAGGATCTCAGCCGTGAAGACAAATAATCCTAACATTTTTTTTTACAATCATTCATTAGCTTAGTAACCTGCAAAAGTGTTTGGGACATAGAACACACGCTAAAAAAAAATGTTCAAATTTCTTGCCATTCTAGCTCTTCTCGGCTTAACACAAGCTCGTAAGTACAACTATATTATCTAATTTTATATTTTGTTGTATACTCAGCTACATTTAATTAGTTCTAAAAAAAAAAAAGATAGAACATTTATAAAAAAAAAATATAACTTTCAGTTCGATAAATGTTGTTTTAACAAAAAAGAAACACACTTCACGAGTAAATTGAGTTTTGATAATATTTATTTATTGACCTTCAAGGTAAAAGCATTACTTTCTTCGTAAGAGGAAAAATTTGCAAGCAACCAAGTGGCCTTTGAATACAATTTTTTTAATTTAAAAAAATGCGGTTATTTTAAGGTTGAGATAAGTGACTATAGATTGTTGAAGTTTTCAGTTGATAAAATTCCGATTCATCTGAAATGAACTTAAAATAAATGCCAGCCTAATTCTAGCTGTGCACGACCAAAGAAAAATCGGATATCTGTTCAATTAGTATTCGTTAGTTTTTTTTGTTGTTTTTTTTTAACATGCATCTATTACAACATACTCCGCTGGTTTACAACATTCGCCTTCCCACCTGCTGCACAAAACAATGACATGGATCTATTGCCACGCCAGACGTAGATGTAGGCATTGCAGCGCACTGCACTGGATTTAAAAAAAAAAAAAAAACGCCAACAGCCAGTCGTTGAACCGATGACACTAGAATCCCCCCCCCCCACACATAAAAAAAAAAAAAAAAAACGCCAACAGCCAGTCGTTGAACCGATGACACTAGAATCCCCCCCCCCACACCCACACACACAAACACACACTTTTTTCCCAATGTCTTGCGTTACGTGTTTCCTTGACGCACGTTTTACAATGACGTCCTCCTAAATGATTCGCTGCTGAAAAAATATATATATATATATTTGCATGGGGCTTGTTTTGAGAGCATCATTCTATATATAATACACTCATAACGATGATTGGGGTCAAGATCAATACTATTTGTCGGTTCCCATCATTTATACTTAAATAAAATGGCTGTAGAAAGAGAGTAAACATGATGCTGGTAACAGCTGATGCAAGGAGAATAATACATCTAGTCTGTTTCATGTATTTGTATTCGTAGCATACTTTATATGTAAATTATAAATAGGAAAACCTATATAAAAACATACAATGAGTGTATATTTTTTTAAAAAATACATAACTTTCAGGTTTAAAGAAAATATAATTAGTCATTGATGTTTAGCGCAAAATTCAAAACGTGCATGTTCGTGTTTCAGATACTACTCGACCCAGTGTTCAGAAGTGCAATCTAGTATGTCAGAGCGGTCAAGTTTTAGACACGCTTCGATGTCAGTGCAAGGCGCTTCGACCCATTGACCCCCTTGCCTGCCCCCAGATATCGTGCCCACGGAGCTGCCCCTCGGGCTTCGAGACAACGACGGATGCCAATGAGTGCAACTACTGCGGCTGCCGAGCAGAGATAGCCTGCGCTCCTGTTCTTTGCAGAATGTACTGCCCCAACGGCTGGGCCAAGAATGAGAGCACCGGGTGTGATATTTGCAAATGTAGAGAGCAGCCAGCTCCCCTCGCCTGCCCCCAGATCTCGTGCCCAAGGAGCTGCCCCTCGGGCTTCGAGACAACGACGGATGCCAATGGGTGCAACTACTGCGGCTGCCGAGCAGAGATAGCCTGCGCTCCTGTTCTTTGCAGAATGTACTGCCCCAACGGCTGGGCCAAGAATGAGAGCACCGGGTGTGATATTTGCAAATGTAGAGAGCAGCCAGCTCCCCTCGCCTGCCCCCAGATCTCGTGCCCCCTGGGCTGCCCCTCGGGCTTCGAGATAACGACAGATTCAAAGGGGTGCAACTACTGCGACTGTCGAGCAGAGATAGCCTGCGCTCCTGTTCTTTGCAGAATGTACTGCCCCAACGGCTGGGCCAAGAATGAGAGCACCGGGTGTGATATTTGCAAATGTAGAGAGCAGCCAGCTTGCAGGCCCGTCCTATGCTACATGTACTGCCCCAACGGCTGGGCCAAGAATGAGAGCACCGGGTGTGATATTTGCAAATGTAGAGAGCAGCCAGCTTGCAGGCCCGTCCTATGCGAAATGTACTGCCCCAATGGCTGGGCCAAGAATGAGAGCACCGGGTGTGATATTTGCAAATGTAGAGAGCAGCCAGCTTGCAGGCCCGTCCTATGCGACATGTACTGCCAAAACGGATGGGCCAAGGACGAAAACGGCTGCGACATGTGTAAATGCAGCTCATCCCGCGCCCAATGCCCTCCATCACCAGTGTGCAGAAACTTATGTCTGTTTGGACGAACCAATGACGCCAGAGGATGCCCCACGTGCCAGTGCCAGTCCGGTCCACAGACAACAAGACCCCAGTGCCCGGGTGTTTGCAAAAACCTGTGTCCTTTTGGCAGGGTGTATGACGCCAACGGATGCCCCACGTGTCAGTGCAGAAGCGATCCTCAGATCCCAAAGACCACCGTTAGACCACGAGGTTCCGAATGCGGCCCTGTGTGTGCGAATTTCTGTCCTTACGGTAGGGTCTCCGATTCACGTGGGTGCCCCACATGCACCTGTAGATCGGCTAGACCCATAGATCTTATTCTCTCGTAGAAAAGGCCACAGTTTCATATCACATATATTCTGTGCTTTCTTTTTTTTTACGAACTCTTAAGTATAAATTAAAATGAATTTAGCTATTACACGATTTGATCATTAGGTTGATTTCAATCAATAGCTGATGTCCAAAAGTGTGCCTCAGAAGTATGGACATTAAAGGACATGGTAGCCTATCTATAGATAATGCATAATGGCTGTGTTGCTTAGGGTTGAAATGGCTAGAAAGACTTTGCCATTGTATGCTTGTAATTAGTTTTTGTAGTGTTGCGTTTGCTTTAAATGTAAATTATAGATTGTTTTTTGTTGACTTTGTACCGCGCTTCGAGCCTTTGGGGATGAAGCGTGTTTTTGAAATGAACTTTATTGTTATTATTATTATTATCATGTGACATGACTCAACAACTAAGATGTAGAATAAGAGCCTTGAGTCTTCATGGTGCAGAAGAAGTTACGAGAATAAAATAAATTACGTTTAAAAAATGCATTTGAATTCCAAATTTCTCGATTGTTTCATAAAAATAAATACTAGAACAAGGTATGTTTATTGTGGGAAAAGAGTCAAAAACAAAATAATTCACCATATTCTCGATCGTAGAAAATGGTGCATCTATGTGTCGCTAGGAAACCAAGCTTCTAGCTCCAACATTCACATAATTGTATGTCAAAGTAAAAAAAAAAAACTAGTTATTTATTCAGTATTTAGTTTAGTTTAGCTAACATCTATTGCAATAAAAATACTTATCACGTTAAATAATGTAGATCATAGAAACATTCACATCGGTTCTTTCTTTGTTTTTTTCCCCCTCAACATGTAACTCATTTATCACTGAAGTCCTTTCATGTCACTCATTTCTGTTGCCTTAAGATGATAAACTTGTCTTCAGGACGTTATTAGTCATTTTTGGCGTTGATGTACAATCATTGGAAGTCCTGTTTTTTTTTAATAGTTTTTTTCTTTATATGTATCTGTTATTTTTAGTTCCCTGTGTTCCCTTTCAGTGTGATCTGTTTAAACTGTTTGGATGGGGCGTCGCCCAGATGTGCATGTCTTATTATATATATACAAATGTTTATGATTGTGATTATATATACAAACAATATATGTTTAATCATCAGCGTCATCATGCAGATTAAGAGGGAATACAAAACTCACAGACATGAAGATTTGTGTGAAGGACTATTTTTTTAAAATAATTAATTTGATTAAAAAAGTTTCTCATAACATGTTAAATTCATCAATAATGTAGTAATTTCATTCAAAAAAATAAATTTGATTTCTCAAAAAATCAAACGGTTCATTTTCATTTGTCCAGTTCAGTAGTTAACAAGAGAAAATTTAACAACCCTAAAAACGTTTTTTCGTGTACATCCTTTGTATTGCATTTATGTTATTGAGCGTGACATTTCAATGTTGTTTTAGCAACTGGTATTTTGGTACGGGAATGTTTTTTTTATCAAATCTAGTGCATGTAATACCTAATAGACTAAACTTATATTTCAACCCACATACGTCACAAATACAAAGCACATAGAAACAGCTACGCAATTAACCTCCACACACAAACACGAGCGCATTGAACTAATCATATTTCATTCATCTTCCTTTCCCAAAAACATGAAAAAACTGATTTTGGGTATTGGCATTGAAAATTTAATAGAATTTGTTGTCATCGGCAACGAGTCTGTCTGCCATGTTTCAGCTCGATAGGCTGAAGGGAAGTGGGTTAATTAGCCTTCCGAAGATTTTGCCAGAAACACACAACAAAGGATTTAGAAATCAGTGCATATTGTGTGAGGCTGCAAACAATATTAAACTATCCTCTAGATCATTCTTAAGGAATCTTTATAACCCAACCCAACGCTTTAAGTCCCGCCAAAGGCAAGCAGGACACACGCGTCCTGCTAAAGCCAAGCAGGACACACGCACACAACATCTCTTTGTAATCTATATACAAGTGAATACCTCCCCCTCGGGGCATGCAAATACACTCAGGTTTTAAAAAGAGTTCCTTTTTCCCCGTGTCATGCATAAAAAAAAATAATACCTATCATGTCTCTGTCATGATCTGGCGGATGTTGTTGTTAATATAAAATGTCAGAACCACAGATCTGATGTCATTGCTGTATCTAAATGCATTTCACATCTTTATTGCATAGACGATTGCCGTAACCGAGGTGAGAAGTAAAAAAAAAAAAAAAAAAAAAAATAAACGCATGCTTTAAGATCTAGATACAGTTAGGACGAAAATCTATACTCCACATCTATCACAGGTAAACGTTTTTTTTTATATCGTTTGCATTGATTTTAAACACTAAAAAACCATAATAAAACACAACATAATATACATTGTGTACATAACTGCATCAATTTACCTTCTGTACATAAACTGCATCAATTGACCTGTGTACAAAAAACTGCATCCGTTTAATGTGTACATTAATTACAATATCGAGTTAACCTATCCACCAAGTATTGACCACTAAATCATCTCTTGCAACATCAAGAATGATACAGGCAAACAGTCCAACCACCCCACCCCCCCTAGCCCCCTATTTCGTTTCTATATTGGCTTAAGGAGACCAAGAACACGATATTTCAATGACTTGTATCGAACTAGTTCAACTATCCGTGTCACTAACACAGAAGACTTACAAATCGATAGTTTAATAACAATATGTTGATGGTCATTGAAACAATTCACAAAGACAAATAGTTCGGATAGAGCGAGCTATTTATCCCCTGGCTCCCCGTATTTGGTGTATGTTATTTCAACCTCGACGCATGATTCTAAAAAGAACCAGCTATCCCTGGACTCCCGGAGAATGTTATGTTATATGGCCGCCGTTTATAGTTCTGTTAGAACGAGCTATCCCAAGCCCCCCCCCCCCTATATCGTGTATGTTATTTGGTCCCCGACATATAGTTCTGATAGAACGAGCTATCCCTGGACTCCCGGAGAATGTTATGTTATATGGTCCCCGACGTATAGTTCTTATTGAACGAGTTATCCCTAGGCTCCAATATATGGTGTATGTTATTTGGTCCCCGACATATAGTTCTGATAGAACGAGCTATCCCTCGGCTCCCCCTATATGGTGTATGTTATTTGATCCCCGACATATAGTTCTGATAGAACGAGCTATCCCTCGGCTCCCCCTATATGGTGTATGTTATTTTGTCCCCGACATATAGTTCTGATAGCACGAGCTATCTCTAGGCTCTTATATATGGTGTATGCTATTTGTTCCCCGTCATATAGTTCTGATAGAGCGAGCTATCCCTGGGCTCCCCCGAGAGGGTGAGATTGTAAATATGCTCGTCGAGACAGTGAAGAGCTGCGGGTTCATGTGTGACGTAGAACTTGTTGGCGAAGAGTTCATGGCGACCCATCAGGAGGGGAAGGTCGGCCACACTGAATATACACACCTGCGGGGTGAAGTAAAATACGGGTTAGAAAACGTCACGACAGGTAAGTGCTTGGCCCATGAAATAAATTACTCGTGGAAAGTCGCTCTCTTTTTTTTTCCTAATAAAACTGTCGATTCTAAGAAATTGACTCACATGTCGAGTCAACACATTAAATTCAAATTTTGTATTGGGGTACTGATTTCAAATGAGTGAAGTGGGTGACCCCCCCCCTAGATCTGGGGCGGGGGGGGGGGCGGTAGGCACCTGGTAATTGTAGTCTTAAGTCTTATGCATCACTTTAGTGAAGTAATGGACACATTATTTGAAAATATTTTAATTGTTTAAAATTTGAATAATGTTATCGTTTTCGTTTTCTCTTGATATGCAGTCGAACACTTGTGTCGCGAAATAAACATGTGTACCTAGTGTAGGTTTAATCGTCATATAAGGTGTTTCCAACATGCTTCTCCCATGAAGGGCATAGCCGTAAGCAAACGTAGAAACCAATTCAGCTTTATTTTCCTACATAACGATCTTCTCATAAGCTCGTTGCCATGAATCATGAATAAAGATAGGGTCTAGACCACGAAACGAATAGATATGATGATTTGAAAACGAAATTTAAATAATGTCTGGAAAACGTGAAGGTTATTTTTTTACCTGATGAACGAACTTCTGGCACGGTAAATGTTCCCAGGGCCAGATGGAATACGAGGTCAACCACTTTCGTTTTGCTGGAACACCTGGAAATATGTTTTCACCAAATATATATCATTTCTTTAGGTTTGTACTATCTATCACCCTCGAAAACCTTCTTTCACCCCCCCCCCCAAATCCCACACCAGTGTACAATATCATACCCGCCACCCCCACCCCCAATAGCCAGATACCTTTGAACCCCCCAGGTGCAGGGGACGCCACGTTGTAGTTGAGGGTACCCCAGTAGATCTCGTCTGGACTGTACACGACCTTTGACCAGTTCAACAAATCGGCGGCCAGCTTGTTCTCCAGGACAAACTCCACAAAGCCCCTGGTGAATGCCCCGTACGCGCTGCACTTGACGATGTCAAGGTCGCCCGGAGGCGGCTCGTGGGTCACAGACGTCGGAACCAGACGGACGTCACCTGTATTGAGGAAAATCGCCTTCCATTACATAAATGTGGCTTGCTGGTGGGTCAAAGCTGTTATTGACTTCTGACGAAGATATTAATCAATTTCTTCTTAAACTTCGTTTACCTAAAGACGACCAAAATCGAAAGTCGATGGGGGGGGGGGGGGATTGCTAGGTCTCTCATTACAGCATTTCATACTATGTTTGAATAAAATTAATGAGTTTAAAGATAACATGTTATTATATTTAATCTTAAATCTAAGCTGAATATTTTGGTTATTTCAAGGTAGTGGTAAAAGAGAGAGAGAGAGAGAGAGAGAGAGAGAGAGAGAGAGAGAGAGAGAGAGATCCAACGAAAATGAAGAAATCAAAATTGAATTAGAAAAAATTCAGAAAATTTGAACACTAAAATGAAATTCAAATTAGATTGTGTTTAAACAAAATCTTTTGACATCTATATACAAATTATATTTTTAAAGCGAAAAAAAAAATTAAGATTAAAAATTAGAATTTACAAATTTGATCACTTTCATACCTGAAGTCTCATTGGCCACGTAATTCCATTTGGTCCTGTATCTCTCTGGGTTCCTCGATTCCCCAGTAACGCCCAGTATATCATTTGTTCCATTTAATAGCTTCAAGATTTTTACAATCTCTAGGTTTGTTCTGTAAATACATGACCAAAAAAAAATGGTTTTATTTTTTTAAATTTAGGGAGTATTGACCGATAGAAGTAATCTCAAACTGATATTTCTTTAAACTTAAGGGTTGATCCATATAGTACGTACGCACTGATGAGGGAGAAAAGGGGGGGAGGGGGGGTTGTTGATTTTGGAGATTTTGCGTAACCGTGCGCATAGCCGGGGGGGGGGGGAAGAGGCCGCACGTCAGAAAGTCCGTAGATTTATTTTAAAAATTGCACAATTTCAATCATCATGAATCTCCGAAAGTCACACAACAGCAGATTTATAGCTCTCGTGCGGTAAACATGTCAGGCAGTGTTTTCTAGGAATGAACATCACTACGTCATCTTTTGTTATCACAAATGAACTCGCTAAATATGGCTTAAATAGTTCTCAGTAGTAGCATTATAACCGTAATATAACCGTAGTCCACAGTACGTTCGACGTCTGTGTGGCGTATTTCCCCCCCCCCCCAAACCTCCTTCCACGGCTACACCAGTGGTTCCTAAAAATGTTTGGATTCCCGGCTCCCTTTCACTAGGGAACAATTGGATACATTTTTAACAAGTGCAATTCGAAATAGCGAATGCATAAACTAAATAAAACAAAGGGTGTGGGTAAATATAAATAAACCATGTATGTAGGTCACTAAGGGCCATCCAGTAACTGCCAACAGTAGTTACTCAACAGAGTTACTGTTTGCACCAAGACCACTAGATGTCACATTGCATTAGAAGTTGAAATAAAATGTATGAAATATATATGATATTTCGCGGTGCCCCTGTGAGGAAGAGGAAGCAACACAGCACTGGGTCAAGCCAAGGAAAAGTGCTAACTGGGGCGAAGCTTGAAAAATGATGCCACTCAATGCATAGAAAAGTGCTCCCCCGGGAATGGAACAGAATACTTTTTTCGGCACCCTTGGTCTTTCTAAAGTGTAAGAAATTTAAATTTTAATTCACTGTTGAGGTCCTACCTAAAGACGACTTTAGCGCCCATGATGTCGGCGCCGGATGTGACTCTCCTCCTTTGTCCTATACGCACTGCTCTGCCCGAGGGCAACGTTACGCCCGAAAGGACGTGGCCTATATTATGGGAACCAGTGAGCTGGCCAAACATTAGGCGCTGTAGTCCCGTGAAGCACGTTTTATTTTTTTTTAAATTTGTGGCGTCAAAATCATCTATATGTATGTATATATATTATTTGATTTCGATAGTGTTTTATTTTATCTATTGTTTTATTATGTTTGTTTATTTATTTATTTATTCTTTAGGGTGGAGGGAATTGCAAGCTTCTTTTACGTACGCATTAGGGGTGTCCAAAAAAGTACGCTTGCTACATTGGGGGAAGGGGTGGTGGAGGGAGTCGAACGTTTGACTTTTCTTTCTTTTTTTTTTTTTTTTTGCGTAAGTTCATAATGGATGGCCCCTAATTAGTGAGAAAAAAAAAAATTTGGAAAAGAATTGATTTTAAAGTTAATAAACTAAAAACGTAANAAATCCAACCCCCTTGCAGGCCACAGGCTGCATCAAGCCAGTGACAGTTCAGCATTTCCCTCCTCGACTCCCGTTGTCAAAGTTTAAAGTATACTAAGAAATGTATTAATTATCAATACATAGAATTCTCTAGGTATACATACAAGATTGCATTTTGCCATGCTGAGTTCAATAGTGAGCAAAATAAAGTTACCCACATTCTTAAAAATATATATCTCTTATAGATGTTACGGTTTTGGTGTGACTCGTGGACTGCTTTCTAATCGACTGCTTCCTAATCAGCGAATTCGGTATTGAGAGTATATTACACATTAAATAATTCTAGTGATTGAAAGAAAGTATGGTTCAATATTGAGTTCCATAGCGCGCAAAATATAATTCTCGATGACTACGCTAAAGGATATTTTTTTTTTGATATAACGCATCTGCGTTTGGCGCGTAACATTTTCTTTGAAGTCCTCTGAAGTCACACATCTGAATGAGAACTAATAAGTCCCCGATTTTGCCAAGAGAACTCACTGAATGGCTGTTTGAAATAATTTATTATAAATGTCTTGAGTTCAAATCGTTTCATTTTTGTGCTGGAAATGTATAATGCAATCAAAAAACATTTCCATTTAATTGGATCCATAAAAGAATCTTATCTTATCTTATCTTATCTTAATATCGTTCATGGGCGTGAAATAAAAAGTGTGCGGTGACTTATCATTTGAGGGGGGGGGGGGGGGGGAGGGGGGCGCGGAAGTGATGTAGCAAAAATTGGGATTCATAAATTTGCGTTACTTGAGTTCATGTTTTGTCAAGTAACTTTAGTAGACTGGGAAGTTCACGCATTTGCTGCCGCCAATGTTTGGCCGAGCTATACCTAATGTGTATGTATGTGTGTGTATATATATATGCTTAATATTTTCTTTTGTTTTACGGAAATAGTCTCAATTTAAATATGATGTAATAAATCTGCGATGTAAAAAGGGGGTGGCGGTGATTAGCATATAACTATAACACAGGGGCGTAAACAAAAGTGTGGTGGAAAGGGGTGGGGGGTAGCAATTATTGACATTCTCACAAAGAGCGTCACTTGAGACGCCATGTTTTTTTTTCCAAGTACCTTTAGTAGATGTTAAGTTCACGCATTGCTGCCACCATTGTTTCGCGGGGTATAATTAGGACCAGGATAATTTAACAGATGGTTGTTGAACCGTAAAATGCTAATATTTCTGAGTAATGAACTCTCTGTAAAAAAAAATGATGACTTACGTAAAATAATAGTACAATTTCTAAAAAGGCTGTCCCCAGTGTTCCTCTGTGAGGTCATCAAGACACAGATTGGCAAACACGGGGCCTAGGAGGGTGTCTGGGGGCTCAAAAGACGGATTGCACTTCAGGGTGACACAACACTGTTTGCTCACCTGAGGGGAAACTGTTGACCCGGGCTGTTGATGACGTAACGCCACGTGACAGGATGACGTAACAGGTCTTGGAAACAGTGGAGGTCCGCCATGAGTCGTGACATCCCTGCGTACACGACATTCTCCAGCCGACTGGACACAAACACGTTGGGGAGGCAGTTGGCGAGACGCCTGAGGGATGGGCAGACAAAATTACGCACACATCAACCTGGTGTGGTCAGATTAAGTGAAGAGGAATAAAAACGTATGCATCGTTCAAAATCCATTTACGAAATTTGAAAGAAGAAAAAAAAGAGGGGGTTGAGGGGTGGGGGGGGGGGCGGGGGGTTTGGACAACCACCTTCACTTTAATTTCCTCTCCATTTATTACATTTGCTCGTTACTGCTCTCAATTCATTTCTTAAACAACCACAATAATCGTTGACGTGACAATTGTATTCCAAGCGACATTCAGTCACTGTGTGACCATTGCCCGATAGGCACATAAATATAGCTAGTCACTATACTTCCTGGTCGTGAATGGCTTCCGTTCTGCGTCGTCCACAATGGGAAATAATCCATTAATCGTATGATGCAAGCTAAGATGGCATCGTTTACTTTTCTATACAGATCTTTTTAAGTCTCTTTACAACTTCACATAAAGTGACACTTGAGCTTTACAAAATGCAAATGGCAGGATACAGTGGAAAATTAATATTTAAAAAAAGCCTATTTGACTGAATCATTGCAATAACCAATTCTCTTGGAAGATATTTCATTAAACTCAAATCTGAAGTGAGAAAAAAAAATCCAAGTAGGTATCATTTATAAAACTTGCTAACACTGGGCAATAAGAAGGGGGGGGGGGAGTTATTAGATACTGGGTATCTATCGTGAGGTTTGTGCTTAAATATATCATTTATAAAACTTGCTAACACTGGGCAATAAGAAGGGGGGGGGGGGGAGTTATTAGATACTGGGTATCTATCGTGAGGTTTGTGCTTAAATCGAGTGTGATGAGTCCAAATCTGAAGTCAGATTTTGTTTAGCACTCCATGACTCTAAGTTGTGCTACTTCATATAAAAATCATTTTTTTTTTATTGAAAAAAAAAATATTTAAAAAATGCAGGGCAAATATTTGCTTTCATAACTGTGTGACTATGATCAATTGTATTATTCTTTTATAGCTGAATTAAAATACAAATTTAACCTATTACCAGTTATAAATTTTATTGCTTGATTTCTTATCGCTTTCATCAAAACAGTTAAGTGTTTTTAAAAAAATCAGACAAGAATGTAAGAAATGCATTTTAGGGACATCAGGAGACGAAATGGTTGTATGCTGTTAACTTAGCTCTAAGCTTAGGGCTTCACATAGAGTTTTAAACCACCAACGGACATACATCCCAGGCTGCAAGTTTAAATAAGTTCTCAGCTAATTTTTAAATACAGTATCACGTACCAGTTTGCGGACTTCTGACCCAATAAAGATTCCAGCAATCAGATAAGCATCACTTTTGATTGCTCAGAATTTCTCTTTCAGATTCTGAAAACCTTGTCCATTACAATCCATTGCTGCTTCAAAATGTTTTCACGAGGCCCATTTTAATAAGAAGTGGTGGTAAGAAAATTTTATAAGGATCAAATAATGCTTCGTGCTAAACATTGTGCCGACCATCTGTGTGCTCAGATCGATGAGGCCACTGTTTCACTTTGTGATGGTTGCTGTGCTCACGTCTGTTTCACGTTAAAAAAAAAAATGTACACATGTTTTGTGCACCCCAGGTTAAGTCCAAGAAGAAGGTCAACTTATTTCGGGTCATCACAGAATGATGTTTGAGTTGTGATCTGAGCTGTTGTTTAATTCGGTCGATAAAGCTGTATAGTGTTCATAATTTATAATAATATTTTTGCTAATGCAAAGCTAGGTTCATCCTGAAATGGAGTAAAGACGTAACATCCGGACGCTTTGCGCTCTACCTATCGCGTTAAATGTTTATGGCGTGCGTCACCCTACTCAACACCAGCCATTTGATTAAAATTATTTTAATTTCTTGAATGTATTCAAAACCTTAACACCTAGACATGCGGGACAGAGTCTGACTCCATATTTGGGATCAGTGCGATAAAGTACATTGATATGTTTTACTTTGAGTGGAAAATTCGTTTTTGACCAGTGTGAAAGGTTCAATACCTGACAAGCAAACCAGCCAGGTTCTCTCACCTTGTGGCCCGTAAGAACTCCGCACTGACCTTGACATCCACGGAAAGACAGTAGACATTGTGTGGGTGGTAGATGGAACGAAGGAAAAAGTTGACCTAACGATAGAAACATGCATCGATCGGTCAGACAATTTTGAAGCAGGAGATACAATTCTTATACAAAAAAGGCACAACCTTCCCTTGACACATCCACAAGATGACAATGAGGGTAGAGAGAGAAAGTCCTTAACTACACATGGTAAAATTTTTACTGCAGTCAAGTTTTCAATTTCGGAGAAGACTCGCCCACCACAGGTTCGGGAACAGATTAATTTACCAGTCAATGAAACTTTAAATAAAAATTAAAATATAATCATCTTTACTTTTAACTTTTAGAAATGTATTCATTCTGAAATCAATTCTATAAAAAGACAAAACTTAAAGTAGTTTTTAAATAATGCGAAAATGTAATACATTGTAAAAAATGTAAAAATTACTCAAACAGTTTAAAAAAAATAAATTTTGCGTTTCGCAAATATTTATCGTACAGACCTGATCTAAGTCTTGATGAAACAGAAGAATGAACGCAATCGGGAACCTCCTTTCTTCGAGTGACGCAGGAGGATACCTGCTGTACCCATAACCCTCACGAAAAGCGCGGCAGTCCCCGGTGTCTTTAATGAACTGTCCAGGCCAGATCCTCTGTACCTTATCCTGCACCCTTCTCCCCAAAACGGGATGTTTCAACAGTGCCTTGCAGTCTGTGCCGGAGAGTCCCGGTAAACCCACCCACCTCTTAAGGTAAGCGTGAGAGACATTCCGTCGCCGGACCTCTGAATCGGGGTCGAATCGCTTCTCGTGGATCTGCGGGTCGTTGAAATCGTGAGACCAGCTGTCCTCGAACAGAGCTCGGCTGACGTTGCACACGTCTCTACTCACGGAGAGGTGCGTCCGCGGATTCAGGGCCGTGTGCAGAACGACGACCGTCAGGCTGGCGACGACGACGACAAACAAAAATGTCCGCCTCTGGTTCCCTGCGGATGTAGGAAGATCAGGTTGGGGTTAGAGTCGTAATGAGAACGTTACAGAACATAGGACCCAGTTTTTTTTTTTAACTGGAGAAAAAAACAACTGATCATGCATGGGATGGGGGAAATATGTGCACACATTTCATGATATAGGTTTGTAACGAAAAACACAATTAGCATCTCAAACAATTTTTAACATGATGGTTTAAAGTAAAAGTCCCTCTTCGTTTTAATTGATTTTTTAAAGATTTATTCTGATTTTGGGACTACTAATGGTCCACGAAACAATCCTAAACATGTGCTTATTTCAGATTTCACTTCTGAAATGAAGAGTGAAATAATGCATCAATAAGTTGGACTATGCGATTTCGATATCTTGTCAAAAATTGTCACAGTTGTGTATAAAGGGTCTAATGGTAAAGGACAGATAATACGATGTTGTATTCCAACCGAGGACAAGGATTGAGATTCTGAACGCTGTCGTGCTTTGACGACTATCACTCAAACCAACAGTTCTACACTTTTTCTATAATGTCGCCAACATGTATTTGAAAACATATTTTTATGTAGCCCAGGATTGGACTGAGCCTGACTAAGAGGCGAGGCTCAAGTAGACATATCAAGGAAGTGTATTTCATATTTTGTAAAGAGTGCCTGTGTCGAGGTTAATGAGTGATACAAGACAATGCTTTTAAAACCCACATTCGGACATTTTTTTTTTGTTTATTATAACTTTGGACTTTGATAAAAATGTTGCTTCAAATGTAATTAAGGTTCAATCAGAAATCCAGAGGAATCTCACTGCAGGAACATACATTAGAATAATTTCGTCTATTCTTTCTCTCCTCTCTCGTTTTGTCTCACTCCATCTTATTACACTCTTATTACAGAATATCTCATGGTCTCTAATCACTCTTCATCGTGCATCATAAGTTTCCTCTTTCCTATCTCTCTCTATATATCTCTCACTCTCTCACACTCTACCACACACACGCACTACCTCTATCTCACTCACTCTCTTTCTCCCCCCCCCTCTCTCTCTATTATGGATTCACTACAACTCTCTTCCCTAACGTGATCCCTCCTCTCTGTTTGATGCCTCTCAGCCTTCCTCTCTGTTTATACTTACACATCACGACTGTAAAGCACCAAACGCGATCCAGGCCAAACACAGACCATTATCAAAGTCCCAGCAAAGAGTCCGAGTCCCGATAGTTATAAAATAACTATGACTGAAAGCCAAATTTAAAAACCAATTTTCTTACATCTAAAAATATAACACCAAATCAACGTCTGAGCTGAAAGTTTACAATCAAAAATACATTCTAATATATTTTCCATAGTTAAATCAACCTCTTCGTTAATAAATTTTAAATTAAATAGATATTGGAGTCTGTATTCCACAGTCTAGGTAAAATCTGAGTTTATGACCAGCAATCAAACATACATCTCACTCTATGACCATCAATCAAACATCATCCGAGTCCATGATCAGCAATCATACAGACATCTGAGTCTATGACCAGCAATCAAACAGACGACTAAGTCTATGACTAGCAATCAAACAGACGACTAAGTCTATGACCAGCAATCAAACAGACGACTAAGTCTATGACCAGCAATCAAACAGACGACTAAGTCTATGACCAGCAATCAAACATCATCTGAGTCCATGATCAGCAATCATACAGACATCTGAGTCTATGACCAGCAATCAAACAGACGACTAAGTCTATGACCAGCAATCAAACAGACGACTAAGTCTATGACCAGCAATCAAACAGACGACTAAGTCTATGACCAGCAATCAAACAGACATCTGAGAATACAGCTAACGATCATCTAAGCTAGAGATCCTCAAACCCGTATTCTCCAATAACTCGAATAAATTATTCACGACAAATGAACTCATCAGCAGGTATCGCCTCTTTCAAACAATACACAAGAAGCACATAAAATAATGGGAGCACACTGAAGACATATCCTCTAAGACGGGGAGAGAATTGATTGTTTCTACCGTGTCAGCTGCATATAAAGAGATGTTCTATTTCTAGATAGAAGGATCAGCGGGGATTTTATCAATAACCTCAGCAATTTTCACAAATGTCCACGTCTTTCCTCGTCACAGATCTGCTACCAACCAACAGTGCAAGCACCGGCAACACGTGACCTACGTTTGTCATAGAAAGCCATCGACCTAGCGTTCTGTAAGGCAGGAATGTCATCGACAACGGCAGTGAAGTCAGGAGGCTGCTCGCATTGATTGTCAGTGTTGGATGTCATAACAACGTGGATACACGCAAAACAGTTGTGTAATTTGTATGCTGAGGAGAAGCGAATGCTGTACGTGTGGCTCAGGGATGTGTATGTGTAGCTCCGGGATTTTTATGTGTAGCTCAGGCATGTGTATGTGTAGCTCAGGGATTTGCATGTGAAGCTCAGGGGTTTGTATGTGAAGCTCAGGGATTTGTGTATAGTTCAGGGATGTGCATGTGTAGCTCAGTGATGTGTATGTGTAGCTCAGAGGTTTGTATATGTAGCTCTGGGATTTGTATGTGTAGCTAATGGATTTGTTTGTGTAGTTCAGAGATTTGTATGTATAGCTCGGAGATTTGCATGTGTAGCTCAGGAATGTGTATGTGTAGCTCAGGGTTGTTTATGTGTAGCTCAGGGGTTTTAATGTGTAGATAAGGGATGTGTATGTGTACCTCAGGTATGTGTATGTGTAGCTCAGGGATGTGTATGTGTAGCTCAGAGATGTGTATTTGTGGTTTGGAGATTTGTATGTGTAGGTCAGGGATGTGTATGCGTAGCTCAGGGATGTGTATGTGTAGCTAAGGGATATTAATGTGTAGCTCAGAGATTTGTATGTGTAGGTCAGGGATGTGTATGTGTAGCTATGGGATTTGAATGTGTAGCTCAAGGATTTGTATGTGTAGCTCAGGGGTGTGTTTGTGTAGCTCAGGGATTTGTATGTATAGTTCAGGGATGTGTAGCTCAGGTATTTGTATGTGTAGTTCAGAGATTTATATGTGTAGCACGAGAATTTGCATATATATGTCAGGGCTTTGTATGTTTAGCTCGGAGTGTTGTATATGTATGTCAGTGATATGTATGTGTAGCTCAGGGATGTGTATGTGTAGCTCAGGGGTGTATGTGTGTAGCTCGGAGATTTGTATGTGTAGCTCAGAGATATGTATGTGTAAGTAAGGAATCTGTATGTGTAGGTCAGGGATGTGTAAATGTAGCTCGGAGTTGTGTATGTGTAACTCATTGATGTTTATGTGTAGCTCAGGGATGTGTATGTGTAGCTCGGAGATTTGTATGTGTGGGTCAGGGATGTGTATGTGAAGCTCAGGAATGTGTATGTGTAGCTAATGGGTGTGTATGTGTAGCTCAGGGATGTGTATGTCAAGCTCAGGGATGTGTATGTGTAACTCAGAGATATATATGTATAGCTCAGCGATTTGTATGTGCAGTTTACAGATTTGTAAGTGTAGCTCAGAGATTTGCATTTTAGGTCAGAGATGTGTATGTGTAGCTCAGTGTTGTGTATGTGTAGCTCAGGGATTTGTATGTATAGCTCGGGGATGTGTATGTGTAGTTCAGAGATGTGTATGTGTAGCTTCGAAATTTGTAAGTGTAGGTCAGGGATTTGTATGTGTAGCTCAGAGATTTGCATATGTAGGTAAGGGATATGTATGTGTAGCTCAGGGATGTGTATGTGTAGCTCAGGGGTTTGTATGTATAGCTCGGAGATGTGTATGTGTAAATCAAGAATGTGTATATGTAGCTAAGGGTTGTGTATGTGTAGCTCAGGAGTGTGTATGTGTAGCTCAGGGATGTATATGTGTAGTTCAAAGATATGTATGTGCAGCTCGGAAATTTGTATGTATAGGTCACGTATGTGTATGTTTAACTCAGAAATCTGTATATGTAGCTCAGGGATGTGTATGTGTAGCTCGGAGATTTGTATGTGAAGCTCAGGGATTTGTATGTGGAGCTCAGGGATTTGAATGTGTAGCTCAGGGATTTGTATGTGTAGCTAAGGTCGTGTATGCGTAGCTCAGGTATTTGTATGTGTAGCTCAGGTATGTGTATGTGTAGCACAGGGATTTCAGGGATTTGTATGTGGAGCTAAAAGATTTGTATATGTAGCTCAGGGATTTGTATGTGCAGCTTAGGGGTCTGTATGTGTAGCTCAGGATTTTTATGTGTAGTTCAGGAATGTGTATGTTTAGCTCAAGGATTTGTATGTTTAGCTCAGAAATTTGTATGTGTAGCTTAGTTTTTTGTATATGTAGCTCAGAGATTTGTATGTGTAGCTCAGGGGTTTGTATGTGTAGCTCAGGGATTTGTATGTGTGGTATTGGATGTGTATATTTAGCTAATGGTTTTGTAAGTGTAGCTAATGGATTTGTATGCGTAGCTCAGGGATTTGCTGAAGTAAAAAAAGCATATGAGTTTCAATAAATTTGAACGTGACCCAACTTCCTATCTAATTTCTAAATATATATATATATATAT